TGGGCCTTAAACAGTTGATATTCTAGTTGAAACCTTCAGAAAAAGAGGAAGTCATATTCCTCTATAATACAATTTTTCGTTTATTTTGCAAACAATACATAGCAAATATAACATGTTAAATAACATTTCAAATAATTCGTGGATTCTAAATTGTTAAATTTTCAGATAAGGTAAGGGATCCATTTCTCTACGTTTTGGTTTGTTGTTTTCATCAATTCGAGCACCTAACATTTCCAACTATCTTATCAAATTGTACTAAAATCAGATACAATTGAAATTTGTCATATTATTGTTGGTTACAAAATGGAGTATTTTGTGACTACTTTAAGACGTTACCAGAAGTTTAAATGGATTGCAAGGAACGACAACTCTGTATGAGAGACTGGTCCGATAAAGGGACTCACTCCACTAATTCATTTGCCATCTCTTCGCATGTTAAAACAGCCTTCTACAACTTTTTCCAGAAATCTCCTTGAAAGCTTTCCAATATGTCTAGTCGAATGAAAGCCTGATCAATCCTTAATGTCTCCTAAAAAAAATTCAATATATCATGACCATGAAAAATCTAGACCAAAAATTACTCAAAAATAGGAATGCAAAAAACCCTAAAAGGGAAAGAAGATTTCTAAACATTCGTATACATAAATGTTTTAGCGGAGTGAGTCCTATATGTTCTGGTGTATATAAGTCCTGTAGTTTCAGAAAGATTTGATAAGCCAATTGGTATTTGTAACATCACAGCTCAGTCAAGTTTTTCTAGAATTACAGGAATAGAATAGACGCTCTTCCTTTTAAAAACCAATTTAAACCTATATTGGACAAACAAGGTTGGCTACACTGCTTTCGTCATTGAATATCGAGCTCGTGAAAAAAACAAGTCTACCTGCCTCTGTTTGTTGATAATCCACGTCATTCGGCAATTCTCGACAGTTTACATAAAGCGCATGCGTAACTTTCACGGAAGGTCGTTTATGTAAAAGAATTCATAAAACAATGAAACAAAAATGAAAAAATGAAAAAAATAAATTAAATCATAATTTTATAAACAAAAATATTCATAGAAAATAGTAAACAAAAATAATTATAGAAAATAGTAAACAAAAAATATTTATAGAAAATAGTAAACAAAAAATATTTATAGAAAATAGTAAACAAAAATATTCATAGAAAATAGTAAACAAAAATATTCATAGAAAATAGTAAATAAAAATATTTATAGAAAATAGTAAACAAAAATATTTATAGAAAATAGTAAACAAAAATATTCATAGAAAATAGTAAACAAAAATATTTATAGAAAATAGTAAACAAAAATATTTATAGAAAATAGTAAACAAAAATGTCAAATTCGATACAAAATGAGAAATAAGTAAAATTAAAGGGACAGATTCGCATTTTTTGTTGAGTTGATAATTTGGGTATTGAATATTATTAGTACTAAAAATATACGGAAATCGCATAATTTCTTCAAAAATACCTCAAACTAGGAATTTCACTTTCTATTTTTATACAATATATAAATTCATGCATTAAATTCAACAATATATGAGTTATAGTTCATTCTGATTTTCATAGTTTTGATGTCACCAGCAATCCTCGTATTAACGAACAACAATCTGATTTTTGAAAATGTTTCACCATTGAATTCAGTTTTAGATTATGATATAGGTCAGGGGTTTTCAATAGTAAGGATTTATAGGGGAAGGGAGGTAATAGTAAGGATTTATAGGGGAAGGGAGGTAATAGTAAGGATTTATAGGGGGGAGGGAGGTAATAGTAAGGATTTATAGGGGAAGGGAGGTAATAGTAAGGATTTATAGGGGAAGGGAGGTAATAGTAAGGATTTATAGGGGAAGGGAGGTAATAGTAAGGATTTATAGGGGAAGGGAGGTAATAGTAAGGATTTATAGGGGGAAGGGAGGTAATAGTAAGGATTTATAGGAGAAGGGAGGTAATAGTAAGGATTTATAATGCAATCGATCAAGTATCCTGAAAGGGCTAATAGAAAGAAAACGATTGAAAATCCCTAATAATAAATGTACACAACATTACCATGTATTGTTAGAAGAGATATAGTAATAAATATACAAAATATACAATACTGGCTGTGTCAGTCTCCAGAA